AGATGATCCACAGGTCATGGTGACTCTGGGCTGGAGGAGATGGAGCCAGAGGAGGAAGAGAAGGATTCTGGCCTCTCCCTCACTGCCCGTCCCTTTTATAATCCCAGACACCTGGGGCCGCCTGCCTCATTGTGTGGAGTGGCCTTCTTGTCACCTTTATGGGCTTGGGGAATTTCTCAGTCATTTTCCTCTCTCCTGGGAAAGCATCATTAAGATGGGGTTTGGAAAATCCTACACTCAGGCAACTTTGAAGCCTTGGCAGCATATTTTCCACAGTTGAGGGCCTGAGGGTGCCGCAAAGTCAAGGTCAGCCAAGGCCTGTGGACTCTGCACTTTGTGAGATAATTGAGGAGAGGAAGGGACGCCAGGTTGAGATGCTTTCTTTCAGGTGGTCAGCTGGACTCATCACTCTGTCTTTCATTTTGGGTCACAAGATGAGCTGAGACTAGGGACAAAGGATAGGCCATCCTAGGGGGCAAGGACAGGTGGACCCAGGAAGCTTTGAGAGGAAGAGCCTTCCAGAGACTCCTCAAGTAGGGTCTCAGGAGCCAAATCTTCAAGGCAATCTATGACACTTGACCCATGGTATAGCCAGAGGGGGACGGGGTTCATCCCCACCAAGACATGGAAAAGTTAATCACACAACCGAAAAATAATTTGTTTGACCACTTCATGCTGGAGGATCCATGCAGTTGGTAGATGTGTATGAGCAGTGTGGTGTGAGAGTTCCAAATATCTGACTTCCTGAAACCCCCAGTCTGTTCACCCACCTCCATTTCTTTTCATATGCCTTCAAGTTTCTTCACCCCCACAGAACACAGAGTCTCTCCCTCAACTAGACCATGAGAGCGAGGCCACACTCCCCAGCCTCTATCAAAATGGCTCTCTATTTCCTGGGACATTTTCAGAAGAGCTTCTCCAATAAGCCCTGAGCTTGGACTGAGCGGTGGGGGCTAGGGGTCCCAGGCAGGAGAGCTTTAGTATACAGGATGCCCCACCTCCCAGACCTAGAAGAGCAGGCTGGCCCGGGGTAGGGGAGGGGAGAGGGGGGAGGCTGAGGGGTTACAGGGCAGGTACCTGGGTGACCAGTGGGCCACAGAGGGGAAAAAGCAGCGACAACAATAATAATAGTAACAGCTGATATTTACTGCCCACTTACTCTGCACCAGGCATTATATTAATCTTTACATACACACCTCACGTTATCCTCACCACAACCCTGGGCGAGTTTTTTTATTTTTTTCACTAGTCCAGATTCTTCTTTTTGTACCTGGACAAGTTTTATTATCTTCATTCTAGATACAAAGGAAACTGAAGCTCAGAAAGGTTATGGACCTTCTTCTCCAGATTGTAAGTGGCAGAGCCCAAGCCTGAACCCAAGTATGTCTGATTCCAGAAACACTTTGACCACTATACTATGGGGAAAGAAAGGAAACGTGTCTCTGAAATGGGCATGTTGATGTTCAAGATGTTTCATAATGGTGCCTTAGGTTACCAAAAGTAGACACACACACACACACCCCCGCCATCAACTATCCCCACGTCCCATTCGCCCCATGCCTGAGTATGACCCTCTCCAGGTCAAGCACCTCTCATGCTCATCTTGACATCTGAAGCCCACCCTGCCTAGCCACCATAGCCACCATCTGCCCCCGGCCTGTCTCCTTTCCCCCGCCTTCTTCCGTCCCCTATGTTTCATCCACAGTGGACTGCCAGCTGTTCCTCCCACATCCTCTGGCCTCCCTTGCTTTGTGTCTTTGCTCATGCCACTCCCTCTGCCTGAATCCTCCTCTCCTCCCTCATCTCAGCACATCCAATTCTTCACCATTCTTCAGCCTCAATCAATCTGTCACCTCCTCCGAGGACCCTGCCCTGAGCTCTGGCCCCAAGCCCCTGAACTGGAGGCTCACTCTCCCGCCCAGTCCCCATGGCATGGTGTCCTGGCATGAGAGCAGACCCCCCTGCAGCCTTGTATTAAGGTCCGTCTGTATACGCATGCCTCCCGGCCTGGAGACTGCAGTCTCCTTCGAGCTCTGAGCCTGATTCCTGCCAGGTGCCTGTTTGCTAACTGTCTTGAATTGTCTCCAGGGGCCCACAAGAGGGTAAGGAAGGGACACGAAAACCAAGACAGAACATTAGCTTTTCATCAGTAGCCTGGTGGATTGGAGACAAAAGGGGCAAAGGAATGATTTCTAGAAGATCCAGCTGAGATTGCAGCAGCCCTCCCCTTCCCAGCACCTGTGACTACTAATCTCTCTATAGGGAAGTCGGTCCTTGATTGTATCTGAAATCTCTCAGGCTTTAGTTCATTTCTCCCCCCTGGGTTCCAAGAATAACAAAGGGGACACCAGTGAGTATACGTCCCTGAGGCTGGGCCAGGGATTAACACCGACCCTTGGGATCCACTGTACTCTGGCTGTGTCAGACCTTTCAACTCCATCCCTTTCCAGTTGTGTTCGCAGAGGGCGCAATTCAGCCTGAAGCCCTTCGGACTCTCCGGACCTTAAATGCACTTAATTATCAGTGCACACAAAGGCTGATTATTAACCTCCTCGTTGATTGTGATAGCACAGAAAATCCATTCCATCCACCCACCAAAACCCAGGAAGAGGTCCAAGCAAGCATCATGAAAGTGCCTCCATAAGTCTAATTTAATTCTTTAATTAAGGAAATTAAATGCTTCAGGGTAAGTCCATTTCCTCTTGTAAGCGATATGCCAAAGGAAGACTTCTCCGATACTACTATTTCCATAAGAAAGTTGGAGGAGAAATTTATAATCCTGAAGCCATTAGCCACATGGCTGATGACCCCAGCTGGAGCTGGGAGTGGATGCACAGACACTGTGGAGCTGGGCTCCATCTTCCACAGAGGAAGGCACTAAGGTTGCACTGAAACTCCTGCAAAATCAAAGCCAGACCAAAGGGATTCAGGCCCACAAGAGCTTTGGGAAAGACGACACAGAGGGCAGTGGGGCACTCCCTAGAAAGGAGATGCCAGGCAGCCAAAGCTAGGCACGGCTGGCTGTGATGACTTCCAGAATTCCAGGATTTAACTACCCTTTACGCAATAACAACTCATATTTAAAAGCAAAGGAAGCTAAGGGTGATTTGCAGGTTTCTCTTTAATACTGGCTGCTTAGTTCACAGTCCAGTTTCCTCTGCCTATAGTTGGACACATAATTAACTTTCATTATGCTGGATCATAGCCTTCTGGGGTTGGTGGCCATGACAAGCATCAGCTGAGGAGAAGGATGAGGCTGATTTCTCTAAGACCCCCAAATCCTAGCCATCTGGGCTCCTTACAGAATTCTTACTCTGTCCCCAAGACTCAGACCCTGGGAGGGGCCAGCGTTGTTTGGGGAGGGCTGGGGGACTCCTGTCAGATTCTGACTCTGCCCCTCTATAGAGTCTTCTATGCTTGACCTTAAACAAATCACTGGACCACTTTGAGCTCAACTTCCTAATCAGGCAAATGGGCACAATAATACTGACCTCGGAAGAATGCCCTGGGGGGTTAGATGAGATAATACACTATAAAATCCTCCCACATTGTAGGTACTCCATGAATACAAACGCCTTTCTTGAGGGGGAGGGGTAGAAATTTTTAAATAATTAAAAGGGGGATTATAAAAAATAAAAATGAAAGATTCCCTTCCCCTCTCCCAAGCAGAGTGGAGGATATGGTGGGTAGAGGATATCCCACTTACTAGGGGAGGAGCCATGAGCTGAGTTCTGAGAGAGAGAAAAAGGTTTTGCCCCAAGGCAGACAGGATGAATGGCAAAATAATAATAGTAAAATAAATAGAACAAACAAACAAACAAATAAACAAACTTTTGTGGAGCTCTTATTAAGCGCTAGGTAGGGCCTTAAATGCTTTCCTGTCCCTTGTGCCATTAGGTCCTCCCAGCAACTCCCTGCTGCACACACACACACACACACACACACACGTACTCCGCCCCCAACAACATACGGAGATGCGCAGGTAACTAAGATCAGGCTTCCCAGCCTGCAGGGCTAGAACTGAAATGAGGGGGCCGAGTGTGCCCAGGTGCGCAGCCTGGGACTAGAGCTAATGACCCGAGCTACCTGGTCGAGTCTGGCCCGAGGGGCCGAAGGGGACTGCCCCGAGCCCGCAGCGCAAGGCGCCGGCGGAGCCCACCAGGTGCTTCCGGGCCCCATGAAGCGCAGGCGGGAGGTGAACGCCGTTTTTATGGAGGCGGCC